GTGTGTGTGTGTGTGTGTGTGTGTGTGTGTGTGTGTGTGTGTGTGTGTGTGTGTGTGTGTGTGTGTGTGTGTTGTGTCAGCAGGCAGGACAGCCTTCCAGCACAAGGGCCATCTTGATCCGCCCCCCTGCTTGCACAAACACTAAATGCAGGAGTTCCAACTAGGGATGGCACTTGCGCTTGAGGCCGTCAGCGCCGCAGCAGCCGCTGGCCCCGCCACGCCGCGCACGTCAGAGGCAGCCGCCGCGTGGGGCGCGCCAGCGCTTGAGGCCTTGGCGGAGGCGGTTGCTTCGGTGCTGCGGGAGCGGCGGGAGGAGCTTGGCCGCTTGCTGGGGCTGAGCCTGCAGGAGGCCTTCCTGGTGGGGCGGTCGGGGCAGCAGATCCTCTCAGCATCTCTACCTTATGCGTTGAACTCACGATGTGCACATTGTGGCCTGCTGAGCACTGCTTGTTCGGCAGGCTGTGAGCCTCGCATATGCCCACCTCGGATGCAGCAAGGCGCGGCATGACCTGTATGTCGTGCACAAAGAAGACTGCCTTGCGTTATGCACCATCACACTCACCAAACAGGAGCTGCTGCAAGAAGAGGCAGGCTGCGAGTCGCCCTGCGAGCAGCTGCTGGGCGGTGCTGATGTCAGCGATGACTCGTGGCCGGCTCTCGACAGCTGGGCCGATGCCGCCGACCTGCTCGCCTGCTGCTGCGCCACAAGGCCACCAGGCAGCTGCGGCAGCAGCACGTCAGCCGCCCTGGGTCCCCTTCGGCACCAAACCTCTGACGCCATCAGCCATGAGCGCTCTGAGGGCGGCGTCGGCGTGGCCAAGCGCGGCGGAGGAAGCGGGAGAGGCGAAGCAGCCCGAGGCGGCTGCGATTTGCCGCGGACCAGCTTCAAGCGGAATAACAGCAGCGAGCGGACGGGGCGCAGGCACGCAGCCGGCGGCGGCGGGATGGGCCTGGGCTGGACCGCTGGCACTCCGCGCTCCTCCTGTGCCCGCGCAGAGGCATCCGAGCCGCACACGGCCGGGTCCCCTCGTGCAGCGGCGCGGCAGCGATCGACCAGGCGCCCCACGGAGCAGGGGGATCGCCCCGCGCGCATCAGCGCGGCGGCGCATGCGCTGCTGGCGTTTGTAGATGGCGCGCTGCAGCGGCTGCCTCTTTATCATCCCACGTTGCAGGTGTGTGGTGATGTGGTGGGTGGGTGGGCAGCCCGGCCACATGACACGCCTAGGACGCATGCCGTTGCGGTTGCGCCAATCAGCCAGGTCATTGTATGAAGTAAACTTCGAGACTGCCTGCTCAGCGCAGCAACCAAGGCGGCAAGCGTGCGCCCCGCTCACGCGTGGGTGCACGCACGCATGCACGCATTCACGCAAGCACACGTTCGCTGCTGCGGCATCTTCTGCGCAGGCACCGGTCTGCCTGGCGCTGGTGGACGCCCTGGGGGCTGTCCTGGACGACAGCGCTCTGCTGCTACCGCCACAGGCCCTAGGGCCACCAGACGGCTGGGAGCAGCCGGAGCCAGCGGCGCTGCTATTGCACGCGGCTCGCGCGCAGTGCGTGCATCGGCGGCTGCAGTCGATGGGCCCGCTGGTGCAGGCGATGGCGCAGCGCCAGGCACGGCGCTCCTTCGACGGCGCTGCGGCGGATGCTGGATCCAGCAGCTTGGAGGTGCCGGGCGGCCACAGCAGCGGCTGGGTGGAGCCCGATGATGGGCTCGGTCGTGTGGAGCGGCGGCTGGCGTCTGGCCACGCCGCGCTGCTGGCGCGCGCTGCGGAGCTGGCTCCCGCGCTGCAGCAGGAGGTGTCAAGGGTGCACGTGTCTCTTGTGGAGACAGCGGTCGGCGCTGCGCTCGACACCACCTCTTGGGCCTCGCTGCGGCCGCCGATCAAGAGCACCGGCTGCGCCGGGCCTGCGGCGCGGCTGTGGCGGGTGCAGCTTCTGGGCTTGCTGCACACGGCACGGCAGGCGCTGGCGCCCAGCAAGGTGGCGGAGGTCACAGGAGAAGTGAGTGATGTCGAGCGTGCTGGGTGGACATCCCTTGCAACATCACTGTACGTTTTGCCGTCAAATGCTGCGGCTGGTCGGCGCTTTGCTCCCTGTGTTGTGGAATGGCACGCTTAGCATGATCACTGACCGCACATACAGTCAGCATCTTTGCTCACTGCCAGCAGTGTGCCCTGCTCGCGCCCGGCCCCTGCCCGGGCTTCCCAGGTGCTCGTCCAAAGCCTCCGCATTACGCTGTTGCCGCGATACCTGGCGGCGGCGCCGTCACCCGCCCGGCTGCCTGGCTTCTGCGCGGATGTTGCTGTCGTGTGCACCACTGCATGGGAGCTGTGCCGGCCCCTGGGGGCTGCGGAAGGTGCGTCGCGCGCATGCACCTGTGGTTGACAGCGGAATTCGGAACCTGCCCTGCGCACACAATGTTAGAGCTTGAGCAACCAGCTTGCTATGCCTGACGTGTCCGCCAACAAACTTGTTGATCTTGTTCCTGCCGGTTCCTGTTTGCAAACCCTTCTGTTGCCCAACGCTGCCAATTGAACGGTTGTGAGCTGCAGAGATGCGAAGCACAGGCATGTGGCTCACCCCCTGCATTCTTGTGATCCTTCGTTCGTTTACGCGCACAGAGGGCAGCTGTGCTGGAAGGTCCCCGCGGGAAGGGGGCGCTGCTGCTGGCACGGCGTCGTCACGCGGCGCTGATGACACAACTGCGCAGAACCGGGCGGCGCAGCCCCATGCCGGGATTTCAGGCGTGGTGGTGCAGGAGGTGTCGCAGCTGTGCTGCCACCTGTGCGTCCATGCAGGTGGGATTGAGCGCTGGTGGATTTTGCCACGGTGTGGGGATGGGAGGACGATTATCCTGTTTTACAGCGTGCTCTATCAGTTTTCGATGCCGCTTTGCTGCGCAGCTCACTCCACTGGCGGGTGTTTTTGCCTAGCACCTGTGTACGAGGCTCCCTCCGACCCCTGTCCTTCAACCTGCCTCCCTTGGCCACAGGTTCACTGACAGAGCAGCGTGGGGAGGCCGCGCCTGAAGATATCAGCGTTCCTGCTCACCCCGGCAACTCTGCGCCCAGAGATGCTGCCTGGGCGTGGGTGGGGCCTGAATTGCACTCCCTGCTGCAAGCTAGGGCGCCGCTGTGGCAGCAGCAGCCCGCTCGGTGGCCCTTCGACCCGTTTGAGAGCTTGGGGCTGGGGACCTCAGCGGACGACGCAGCGCCCATGCAGTGGCTACAGGCAGGCAGGGCCGCCACCACAGCAGCCAAAGCTGTGCAAGCGCTGGGATCATTGGCATGATGAGCCCACAGCGTGGGCTTTCTTGTAAGCGCAGTATTGCCTCTGTGGTGTTGCCTGGGCCACACCTTTCTGCATGCTACACCTCAATCCTGCCGCGAGGGATGCTGCTGCTGTTGCTGTAGCTTCCCCAGGAAGGGGTGCCATAGTCTGCCACGAGCTGCCTGCCTCACGTGATGCCACCCTGGGATGTTGCCGCTGCAATTTGCTGTCACTTCTTGCACAACACTCTTGATGACCCGGCAGCAATTGGCACAGCAGCAGCAGCAGCAGCAGCCCTGCCAGGCGCATGCCCGGTGCTGTTGCATGGCAGGTGTGACTGCCTGAAAGGAGCAGCGCATCACACAGTGCAATCATACTGAAAGCCACTGACTACTTTACACACATACAAAGAGGGAAGTTGAGCAGTAAAAGAACGTCGCGCCGTCAGGGCGCATTGGGAAGAAAATGCGCCCCCATCACGCAACAAGTGTGAGCCTCTGGGCCCCAGCCAACTGCGGTGGAGCGGCCTCACTCGCCCCCTCTCTCACTCGCTCTCACATGCAAGCACACCTGCCCGATTGCGGCCTCATGCCGTAGCTATGGGTGCAGCCCTATGCGCAGAGCTGGACGTCCAGGAGCTCCTCCTGCGGTCGGGTGTGTGTGTGTGTGTGTGTGTGTGTGTGTGTGTGTGCGTGCGTGCGTGCGTGCGCGCGCGCGCGCGTGTGTGTGTGTGTGTGTGTGTGTGTGTGTGTGTGTGCGTGTGTGCGCGCGCACTTGCGTACACGCGCGCGCGCATGTGTGCCGACAGGGGTGAGTGCAGGGCAACGGCTGGGTAAGAGTTTGGCATTGGTAGGACAGGTGGAGACTGGCGGGGCGCTGAGCCAAGGCTGCAGCGCGTCACGCAGCACCTCCAGTTGTTACTTTGCCGGCATCAGCTCACTATGCAAGCAACATATGCTTGCGCAATCTGCTACCTGCCTGCCTTGCCACCTCAAAGCATCCTAACGGTGCCTTCGCCGCTGCATAGACACACACCGGGGACCCGCCCTGGCACAGCCGCCCTGTTGAGGCAAGCCCCAGCTGGTTTTTGCGGCGCACCTCCTTGCAGGTGACGACCTCAACATCGCTCTGGGGGTAAGCCATGCACAGCAGCGTAAAGCCCTTCTCCTCCACATCTTCGCTGAGCATGCAACCAGTCTGGTCGATCTGCCCCTTGACCTGAACAGTGGAATTGTGAGGGGGCGGCGTACAGCCGTTGGACCCAAGGTGGGACTGGCCAGCAGCCACACATCCACAGCCTCTTTGCTGCCCAGCCTGCAGCCATACTGCACGCTACGGGGCGAACAGCACTTACTTTTGTGTTTGGGGTTCAGAGCCGCGAACAAGCGGTCCAGGCAGGCCCTTGCTGACAGGTATGATTGGTGATCAAATCGTCTCAGCATTACTCACCAGCTTCGCAGGGCAGGTCATGCATACCTGCAGACCACCGGTTGATTAAAAGGAGGCCTCAGAGCGGTTTTGCAAGCAACATGCGTGCAGACAAGCACGTTGCGTGTGTGCTGCCTGCAGGCCTGCACAACCAGCGCAAGGGCGTCTCTTCGCTGCATCCAACTTCCCCTATGCACTCACTGCGCCTGCTGTCATTTGGCGCTTGTGGCCGCACTGACGCTACACCCCTTGCAACAGCCTGGATCTACCGGTGCCACGTTCCGCATGTTAGCAGCTTCTGTGCATGCTGCAGCAATGCACGTAATTCCCCAGCGCCCTTGATGGAAAAACAAGTTGCCGAACCACCTCGCTTCCAGACCCACCCCAAGGTTGCAGTCGTGCGGCAGGTCAAAGCCCTTGTCCAAAGCTGCCTGCAAAATGGTTTGGTCCTGGGGCACGTCCAGGGTCACCGTCTTCCCCTCGTGTGTCACAGTAACCTGGGAGTGCCGTCAACGTGGGCCATTGTCGGTGCGGTTGGCAAAAGCGAGCAGCTGACAGCTCGCATACACTTGACCAGGGCTGGTTTGTATGTGCAGCTCTGTTCGTCTGCCTTGACAAACAGTATGACTGTACACTATCACATGCCTTCTGTGAGCACAGCAAGCAAGCAGGCTGCGGAATCCGCCTACGATCTCTTGCGTCACTCCGGCGCCTGCTGCGCCATTGCCGCATGATCCGCCGGGGCGCTATCGACAGCACCCACATGCTGCGGTGCGGTGATTGCTACATTTGATTGAGCCGCATACCTGGTGGGCACGAACAGCCACAAATGGCCGGCGAGAGACCCGAAGGACCGCGGCAGGCTTGCTGGTAGAGCAGCCGAGCGAGCTGCCAGCGCGAGAGCTGCTGAGAGAAAGAGGCATATTTGCAGTTTTTCCGATTTTGCCGCTGAGGAAATGCGAGCTACTGAAACAGGTCCGACACCAGCGAGTCTCCTATGAACGTGCTGCCTGCGGAACGAGCGCGAACGCTGCGATGTATGACACTGATGAAACGGATGTACATGCCTACATGTGGAGGGGCAGGCTGTGGAGCGAGTGGGCATGGATGGGAGCTCAGGAGACAACTTGAGCGCATGCACGGCGCTGGCCAGGAGAGTGTCGCAGCCACCAGTCAGTTTCCATGCAGCTTTGTAACGGCGAAGATCAGGTATGATAAAGTGCTCGATCACAACTGGTTACCTGACTGCACTGGATTGCGGATACAATCAACCAACTCTCCGTCAACAAGGCGACCCTCGCAAGCTCCCAGGTGGGCCGCGCAGCAAATGCTTGCGAGACTCGCTCTGCCATTACAAAGGCCGCCACAGGCCGCCCACAGTACAGTCACTCAAGAAAGGATTTGTTAGCCGCTCTCTCGCGCTCCTGCATTTGAAAGCAGCCACCATCAGGCAACTGCCGGGTCACAGCTCAGTGTCCTGCTTGGGCGGCGCGGCCGCCAGCGCCGCTTTGAGGGCCCTCACGTAGTCCCCCTTCTCAAAACAGCCCCGGCAGTCCACGCCACGCGCGGCGACCACCGCCTTGAGCTGCGCCACCGACAGCGCGCCCAGGTCGGTCGAGGCGTCGACGGCGATTTTGCTGCTGCAGACCTTGCCGCCGGCATATTTGCCCAGCGCCCGCTGCAGCGGCTCCGACTTGAGAACGCCCGCGTACGCCTCCGCCGTCCGCAGGTCGCCGTTGCACACCAGCGCCACCGCCGGCGCCGCCTTGCCCTCGAGCGCGGGCCCGAGTGCTGTGACGACCTCCTGCACCGCCTGCTGCTGCTTGCCGGACAGTGCCCCGGGCGCGCGCAGCACGCCAAAGGCCGCCCTCCCCCGGTACGCGGAGGACAGCGCACGCAGCAAGCTGGGCGCCTCCGCCTTGTCCGTGAGCAGCACCACGCACAGCCCCCACGCCGCGCGCTCCGCGCCGCCCCCGCGCTTCGCGCCGCTGCCGCCGCCGTCACCGCCGCAGCGCACCAAAAACGAGTCCAGGTCCGCCCTCCGGCTCAAGTAATGCACCGAGCTCGGGATCAGGGAGACCGCGAAGTCCGCGATGTCCTTGGCGCCCCGCTGCCCCTGGTACTCCACCCAGCCGTCCGCCCCGGCGCGTGGCGTGAGCGCCTTGATGGTTGGGTAGCCCTTGACGCCGTGGCGCTGGCAGAGCGCCTTGTGCGCGTCGCAGTCAACAGCGCCCACATTGACAACGCCCTTGAGCTTGGCCGCGACCTGCTTCCACTTGGGGGCCAGCTGCTGGCAGTGGCCGCACCACGGCGCGTAGAACTCCACCTGGCCGTTTTTTAATGGTGTGTGTGTGTGTGGGGGGGGGGGGCGCTGTAAGCGAGGCACGCGATGGTCCGCGTGCTTGCAAGCTGCGGAAAAGCAACAACACCTTGCATGCGTGTGCGTGTGCGCAGGGCGGACCAAGGTGCTTATGTATGTGTGTGTATATGTGTTGTGTGCCCGTGCGTGTGTGTGTGTGTGTGTGTGTGTGTGTGTGTGTGTGAGTGTGTGTGAGTGTATGTGTGTGTGTGTGTGTGTGTGTGTGTGTGTGTGCGCGTGCGCACATTTATGTATAGTAAAGTGCAGGAGAGTGTGTGTCAAGAGAGTGTGTGTAAACATGCATGCAGAACAAACCCTGCACACACATACGTCGCAACAAACCACATATGAACAGCGCATGCTGTCACATGTTTCAGCATCCACGCCCCTCTCAACCGCAACTCCCCAGCATTCGGCGGCCGTCCCCAGCATTCGTCGGCCGTCGATAGCAAAATGCCCGCCCGCCTGGCAGCCACTGCCCCAGCCCCACTCACCAGCCAGACCCAGTCCCCGCTGCCGTCAGGGAAGGTTTCAGCGCCGAGCTCCTGCACTGCAGGGTCACCGCCATACAATGATGCCGACGCGCCCCCGCCACCACCGCCCATGCCGCCGCCACCCATGCCGCCGGGGAAGCCGCCTGCTGGAGACGAGGGGCGGCAGGTGCGAGGCGCGAGCGTGTGTGCATGTTGTGATTGCAGGGGAATGTGAACGCATTCGCGTGCCTACACGATCAAAGAGTGCCAATACATTTTGCAGCCCGGGCGTAAACCAAGCACGTGGTGATTGCGTCGTCCCCTGCGGCAATAGCACTGTCGGCGTGATCCAGCCTGTTGGGATGCCATGCAACCGCACACCTCCGCCGAAGCCTCCCCCAGGGAAGCCGCCGCCTGGGAAGCCGCCGCCGGCCCCACCGTGCTGTCCGCCGCCATTCCCAAACTGGAACTTGAACCCGCCGCCGCCGCCGCCCCCCCGGCCGCCGCCGCCGCCGCCGCCGAAGAACATGTTGAACATTTCAAAGGGGTCGCCGCCCTGGAATTGGAAGCCGCCGCCAGGGCCGCCGGGGCCCCCGGGACCGCCCCGGCCCGCCTTCAGGGCGTCCTCGCCCAGCTGCGCAGGGAACGTAAAAAGCGGAGAAATTTAAGGGGTGGGGGTTCAAACACAGGGCAACCGACACCGACGACGGAAAAATTGGCCGCCCGCCGCCACGCGTCACGCACGCGTTGCATGTTGCCGTCGCGTCGCCCGGCGTCTCAGCCCGCCTCAGCCCTTACCCCGGCCCTCTCAGCGCAAGCCCCCCTCAGCCCCCCCTGCTCGGCCGCCGCTTGGGGGGATCGCCCCCCCCCTCGTCAGCCGCGCCCATGCGTGCCGCCCACCTGGTCATACATCCGCCGCTTTTCGGGGTCTGACAGGACCTCATAGGCCTCGGCCACCTCCCTGAACCTGGCCTCCGCCTTCTTCACCTTGTCTGGGTTGCGGTCCGGGTGCCACTTGCTGCGCACAGCAACAGCAACCAGGCGACGCGGCGCGTGCGCGTGTAAGCGGGACGGGAGCGCTGGGGAGGGTGGCGCGGGCCGTCCGCACGCAGCCGTGGCGTGCAGCCCACAGGCGCCGCCTCATGGGGTGCGCGGCTGCCAAAAACCCGCCGCGCGAGGCGGCGAGCAGCGCGCGCCGGCGCCATAGTGCACGGACGACACGGTGGCTTCAGCTGCCAGGGCACGGGGCCGGGCAAATGCTCACAGCGCCTGCTTTTTGTAGGCCTTCTTGATAACGCGGTCGTCCGCATCTGGCGGGATGCCCAGGGCATCGTACAGCCGCGTGCTCCTGCGGCGACGGGGACGCACAGGCGGCGGGGCGCGGCACCAGGGGCGAGCGCGAGCGCCGTCAGCAGCGGCGGGTGGGCTGCAAACACGTCTGTGCGGGCTGACGT